TACCAGAAGCTGTCAAGACTACTTGCATTGCTGCTAAATGTTGTCACTGGACTCTTAGACATGGTCACATGAGATCTGTCCTTTAACTGTAACAAGTTATAAAGAAAAGAAGGGGACTTGTATGGGAAAATTATATATTATCTAGGAGATCCAAATCCAGATGTATAATGTTGAAAAGGTCCATTCGATGAGATTTGTTTTCCCTTTCATTTAATTGAATATTCACCTTGGTTGAACTGCTTTAGACTTAGTGACAAAACGTATGCTGAAAATATTAGTTGCGATAGAAGATTGCATAAATTTTATGGACTTCGATAACTAAGACTTAATTTAACATTTTAATACTGACCAGATATGGTTCAGTTTAAATTAACTAATGCATTTTAGATAAATCTTTAGATATGTTTCTTCTGAAGACAGAGTAAGAGAGTTTTGCAATGGGATTTTTGCAGTTGTTATTTGGGGGAAACAATAATATTATCATCCTTGTCTTCTAATTTTCTACATTTTTGAGCTCAACTATCCTTCTTTGTTGCCATTATATTTGCAAAAGAAGCTGATTGGTTTAATGTGCAGGCAAGTCGACCATTTTGAGATTGCTCTTCAGGTTTTTTGATGTCCATACTGGAAATGTAAGAGTAGAAACTTCAATTTTGCTGAACCTTATATACAACTCATGGGTGTAGTTGTTCGGTGTAGAAGTCTATTATAAGCCACTATTTCTTCTGATTTCCACTGTCCTTCTGTTTCTGTAGCTTTATCTCCTTTACTTTGTTCATTGATAGTTTTCATGTTTAGCTAAAACTAATCATAATGCTATTCCTCTTCAATTGAAGTTATTAGGAAAAAGAAAATGAAGGGGAATCTCTTCTGCTTTATATTCAATAAAACGTATGTTGTATAAATAGCACCAAGTTTGAATCTTAGTTACTTCTTTGTTACATTTCGATTTTATTGCTCTTATTTTTCTATATTGAATGCTAGTAGCAACTTGACATTGACAGATAAATATAGATGGTCAAGATATCCGGGCAGTAACACTTGAAAGCCTTAGGAAGTCTATTGGTGTTGTTCCACAAGATACTGTGAGTTTGTAGTTGTAAAAGGAATTCGCTTCATTATTTGTTTCTCTATATTCTTAGGCATGTAAGACCTTATGAGTCATGATATATATTTTTGCTTTGCTGCCAGGTACTATTTAATGACACTATATATCACAACATTCATTATGGTCGTCTTTCAGCAACAGAGGAGGAGGTGTTATTTGTTAAATCACTTTTCTTTCTCAGCTTGACAATTTGAATGCTTATTAACATTAGTATTTGATGTCTTAAATTAGGTGTATGATGCAGCTTGGAGGGCCTCAATTCACGATACTATCATGAAGTTCCCAGAGAATTATTCAACTGTGGTGGGGGAAAGAGGACTTAAGGTGGGATTTTAATTTTTCCTCTCCACCTTACTACCTAATGAAACTGTATTTTGTGATTGTCTGGAGACTTATCTATACATGTAGGTAGTAGGTTTGCTGGATATAAGAGTTTCTTCCTCTTTTTATAGGGTCTAATACAAAGTTACATTGTCCTGATTTTTGTACATTAAATCTTGTTCTTTTCTTCTTTTGTATAGTCATCTAGCCAAATTATTGTATTTGTAGAAGTAATTATATTTTACCCCTACAACTGGTTTCTAAGTTGCTGTTTTGAAAGAGAAATATGATATATTATCAAAAATTGTATGGTCTCTGTAGATCATGCACGGGTTATGTGGTCAGTTATACGAGAAGCCATTTAATTGGGAATAAATAGTTGAAGTAGTTAGCCTATATAACTGACTCGTGTATTATTTGGAGCTAATTCCACGGGGAAATTATATGCCTCTTTTTCTCATCTGCAGTTAAGTGGCGGTGAAAAGCAACGAGTAGCACTAGCACGCGCATTCTTGAAAGCACCTCCTATACTGTAAGTATTTTTGACTTATCTGACCAATTAATTTTTTAATTGATGTCATTACTGTAAACGGATTACACATGACCATTCTTTTCATTTTCGTACATAAATTGTCTGTAGTTTGGAGAACAAGAATTGAGTTGGCAAATAATGAATATGAAAATGGTTTGGTCCCTCTAAATGTTGAATCTAAAAATTTGGCCTCAAATAATAGAAGGCAAAATTTGGAGAGAAGTTCATTATTTGAATATTAAAGGAATTGATCAAGAATTAGTCGTATATCATCAGATTAGAAATTAGCTTGATGCTTTTGTTATTTGACATGCTTGTCCATTGCAAGTAATGGCTATTCATGCATTTTCCGTCGTAGTTGTCTTCTCATTCGAGTGTCTGTAGCTGGTGCTTCCTCCAACATGGTCTGAAACATATTTCTTTTCTTGTAACCACACATTCAGAGTTCTTATTTTTAGTGATGTGCAGGAGAATTATCTAGCTCTTTGTATTTTGTTGCCTTCCTGTCATATACATATTACTTTTGATTGCTTGACATCTCTAAAGCATTTTCTCTGCGATGCTTTCTATGCTCATCTTTGAGGAACATCCTACAGAGCTAACATTTATTGAACAATCATTTTTAAATAACAAATTTGTCAATATTCTTTAATTCTGTCAATCTTGATTCGAGTATTAGTGTTTTTCTTGTGTTACGGAACTTATATTCACGATTAACTAAATGCATGTTTCATGTTTGCACATGTAATTCTAGAGAACAACTAGACAAGGAAACAAACTTTTCTTTTTGTCATAAATTTAGTATATGTTTCAGGGGCTTACTCGAACTAGTGGTTGTATCGTGCTAAGATTTCTTTGTTACTCTCTTAGAGTGAAAAACTATTATTTTTCTTGAAATGTGCGTCTACAAATCAATTCGCTTTTGTCCTTTTAGGTTCTGTGATGAAGCTACTAGTGCCCTTGATAGCACAACAGAAGCAGAGATCTTGAATGCATTGAAATCTCTTGCAAATGATCGAACGTCAATCTTTATTGCTCATAGGCTTACAACTGCAATGCAGTGTGATGAGGTACGCATACTAGGTAGTGAATATCCATATCTCCTGTTAAGTCCATTTTTATAGATTTTCTCCTGATCCCGTGTCTTGTTTCTATGAAAACACAGTTACCTAATACCTAATGGATTACACTATAGTGTGCCCCTGTAGCCTCCTTTCCGTGTTATAAATTCATATTACTTTCTTTGCATTTTTTCTACCCTCAGCATGTCTCCCCTTCCCCATACCTCTCCTTGACTTGAAAAAAGTAAAAAGAAAAGCTACGTGCTAAAGAGTGCTCCGGAATTTATCCTATAAAGTTGCATTGAATTATCATGATGTAAGGCTGTATCTTTGGCTCTTTATCCATGATATGTTGGTATAACAAGAGCAATAATATTTCCATAGTTGCATTAAATTATCTTGATGTAAGGCTGTATCTTTGGCTCTTTGTCCATGATATGTTGGTATAACAAGAACAATAATATTTCCAAAGATAATTTAAGCAGTAGTAGTATTTTCGACATATTTTCATGACATTTTCTACACGGGCCTATGGAAATTTCATGTACTTACTACACATTTTCATTTTTTTTCCCCTAGAACAGAGGCCCATTTTTCCAATTAGCTAAGGTGTATTTTAACGATTTAAGTTATGGATACAGATTATAGTTTTGGAGAACGGAAAAGTCGTTGAACAAGGACCACATGAGGTTCTCTTATCGAAGTCTGGAAGATATGCACAACTTTGGGCACAGCAGAATACCACTGTTGATTCCATTGATGCCTCCTTGAAACTAGGGGCATAAATACCCTAAGGTTAATACGAGAGGTTTGCCTCCATTGAATTTCTTGCTTGTCATGTACATGGGATCATTCTCCTGATAATTTCTATAAATGTATATTCAATATATTTCATTTCGACTTTCATGTCAACTAATTTTTGTAGTTATTTAACTTTCAAATAATTCGACAACCCATTAGCCTTCCTTCTCATTCTCTTGGTTTTACTTGCAGGTATGAATTGGGAATAATTTGGATGTGAAGAGTTTAAAAGTATCGGAAGAGTTGAAATATGATTTTAAGAGGGAAGAGGATATATTTTAAAAAGTAATCTATTTATCATCAATGATGATTATCATTAATCTAGGTTATAGTTACTCCTTAATTCATTGTCCAATTACAATCATTATTTCAAGACTATTTAATTATCATACTCATTTTCAATCCACATTTACATAAAATATTTTGTACGTAAATTCAAAAAAATTTCTATTTTTTAATCATACATTCTTCAAAAAATCACTATTCAAAACTTCATTTTTTTCAAAATAATGGCCATCAAACAGTGGTTAAGTTATTGAAAAATGAATTAGAGGACTCGCTCTCATCTAAATGATATTTGTCACCGATGATGAATAGCAATATTATTCTAAATAAACATATTATTTGAAATTTTTGTGTAACGATACCATTCGATACAAAACTATCACTAGATAGGTAAACTTACATGTTCCCAATTAGTAAATATTTCCTAATCAATTTTAATAAATTTCATCAATTTTTATTATAGTTGGATTTTAATAAATTTTGATTTAAGTTGGGCTCATTATTTGTGGAGGCGGCTCAGAAGGTGGCCGATTCACAATCAACATGTGGTGCTTGGGTTTGAAAGAAGATTAAAATAATTGAGAACCATCATTGCCAATGATTGTAGCTTTCGTAAAGCGCTTCGTCCTAAAATTAGGGGTCTTGCTTGGGGTACATAATTATTCACATAGAGGATGACATAACACTCACATGATTATCTATCAAAAAAAAAAAAATCTTTAGACATGTTTCCTCTGAAGACAGAGTAAGAGAGTTTTGCAATGGGATTTTTGCAGTTGTTATTTGGGGGAAACAATAATATTATAATCCTTGTCTTCTAATTTTTTACATTTTTGTGCTCAACTATCCTTCTTTGTTGCCGTTATACTTGCAAAAGAAGCTGATTGGTTTAATGTGCAGGCAAGTCGACCATTTTGAGATTGCTCTTCAGGTTTTTTGACGTCCATACTGGAAATGTAAGAGTAGAAACTTCAATTTTGCTGAACCTTATATACAACTCATGGGTGTAGTTGTTCGGTGTATAAGTCTATTATAAGCCACTATTTCTTCTGATTTCCGTTGTCCTTCTGTTTCTGTAGCTTTATCTCCTTTACTTTGGTCATTGATAGTTTTCATGTTCAGCTAAAACTAATCATAATGCTATTCCTCTTCAATTGAAGTTATTAGGAAAAAGAAAATGAAGGGGAATCTCTTCTGCTTTATATTCAATAAAAAGTATGTTGTATAAATAGCACCAAGTTTGAATCTTAGTTACTTCTTTGTTACATTTCGATTTTATTGCTCTTATTTTTCTATACTGAATGCTAGTAGCAACTTGACATTGACAGATAAATATAGATGGTCAAGATATCCGGGCAGTAACACTTGAAAGCCTTAGGAAGTCTATTGGTGTTGTTCCACAAGATACTGTGAGTTTGTAGTTGTACAAGGAATTCGCTTCATTATTTGTTTCTCTATATTCTTAGGCATGTGAGACCTTATGAGTCATGATATATACTTTTGCTTTGCGGCCAGGTACTATTTAATGACACTATATATCACAACATTCATTATGGTCGTCTTTCAGCAACAGAGGAGGAGGTGTTATTTGTTAAATCACTCTTCTTTCTCAGCTTGACAATTTGAACACTTATTAACACTAGTATTTGATGTCTTAAATTAGGTATATGATGCAGCTCGGAGGGCCTCAATTCACGATACTATCATGAAGTTCCCAGAAAATTATTCAACTGTGGTGGGGGAAAGAGGTCTTAAGGTGGGATTTTAATTTTTCCTCTCCACCTAACCACCTAATGAAACCATATTTTGTGATTGTCTGAAGACTTATCTATGTAGTAGGCTTGCTGGATATACGAGTTTCTTCCTCTTTTTATAAGGGTCTAATACAAAGTTACATTGTCCTGATTTTGTACATTAAATCTTGTTCTTTTCTTCTTTTGTATAGTCATCTAGCCAGATTATTGTATTTGTAGAAGTAATTATATTTTACCCCTACAACTGGTTTCTAAGTTGCTGTTTTGAAAGAGAAATATGTTATATCATCAAAAATTGTATGGTCTCTGTAGAGCATGCACGGGTTATGTGGTCAGTGATATGAGAAGCCATTTAATTGGGTATAAATAGTTGAAGTAGTTAGCCTATATAACTGACTCGTGTATTAGTTGGAGCTAATTCCACAGGGAAATTATATGCCTCTTTTTCTCTTCTGCAGTTAAGTGGCGGTGAAAAGCAACGAGTAGCACTAGCACGCGCATTCTTGAAAGCACCTCCTATACTGTAAGTATTTTTGACTTCTCTGACCAATTAATTTTTCAATTGATGTCATTACTGTAAATGGATTACACATGACCATTCATTTCATTTTCGTACATAAATTGTCTGTAGTTTGGAGAACAAGAATTGAGTTGGCAAATAATGAATATGAAAATGGTTTGGTCCCTCTAAATGTTGAATCTAAAAATTTGGCCTCAAATAGAAGGCAAAATTTAGAGAGAAGTTCATTATTTGAATTTATTAAAGGAATTGATCAAGAATTAATCAAATATCATCAGATTAGAAATTAGCTTGATGCTTTTGTTGCTTGACATGCTTGTCCATTGGAGTCTGTATATCTTGTGCTTCCTCCAACATGGTCTGAAACATATTTCTTTTCTTGTAACCATACATTCAGAGTTCTTATTTTTAGTGATGGTACAGGAGAATTATATAGCTCTTTGCATTTTGTTGCCTTCCTGTCATATACATATTACTTTTGACTGCTTGACATGTCTAAAGCATTTTCTCTGCTATGCTTTCTATGCTCATCTTTGAGGAACATCCTACAGAGCTAACATTTATTGAACAATCATTTTTAAATAACAAATTTGTCAATATTCTTTAATTCTGTCAATCTTGATTCGAGTATTAGTGTTTTTCTACTAAATGCATGTTTCATGTTTGCACATGTAATTCTAGAGAACAACTAGACGAGGAAACAAACTTTTCTTTTTGTCATAAATTTAGTATTTGTTTCAGGGGCTTACTCGAACTATTGGTTTTATCATGCTAAGATTTCTTTGTTAGACTCTCTTAGAGTGAAAAACTATTATTTTTCTTGAAATGTGCGTCTACAAATCAATTCGCTTTTGTCCTTTTAGGTTCTGTGATGAAGCTACTAGTGCCCTTGATAGCACAACAGAAGCAGAGATCTTGAATGCATTGAAATCTCTTGCAAATGATCGAACGTCAATCTTTATTGCTCATAGGCTTACAACTGCAATGCAGTGTGATGAGGTATGCATTCTAGGTAGTGAATATCCATATCTCCTGTTGAGTCCATTGTTATAGATTTTCTCCTGATCCTGTGTCTTGTTTCTATAAAAACACAGTTACCTAATACCTAATGGATTACACTATAGTGTGTCCCTGTAGCCTCCTTTCCGTGTTATAAATTCATATTACTTTCTTTGCATTTTTTCTACCCTCAGCATGTCTCCCCTTCCCCATACCTCTCCTTAACATGAAAAAAATAAAAAGAGAAGCTACGTACTAAAGAGTGCTCAGGCATTTATTTTTCCTATAAAGTTGCATTGAATTATCTTGATGTAAGGCTGTATCTTTGGCTCTTTATCCATGATATGTTGGTATAACAAGAGCAATAATATTTCCGAAGTTGCATTAAATTATCTTGATGTAAGGCTGTATCTTTGGCTCTTTGTCCATGATATGTTGGTATAACAAGAACAATAATATTTCCAAAGATAATTTAAGCAGTAGTAGAATTTTCGACACATTTTCGTGACATTTCCTACACGGGCCTATGGAAATTTCATGTACTTGATACCCATTTTCATGTTTTTTTCCTAGAACAGGGGCCCATTTTTCCAATTAGCTAAGGTGTATTTTAACGATTGAAGTTATGGATACAGATTATAGTTTTGGAGAACGGGAAGGTTGTTGAACAAGGACCACATGAGGTTCTCTTATCGAAGTCTGGAAGATATGCACAACTTTGGGCACAGCAGAATACCACTGTTGATTCCATTGATGCCTCCTTGAAACTAGAGGCATAAATACCCTTGGGTTAATATGAGGGGAAGACGAGAGGTTTTCCTCCATTGAATTTCTTGCTTGTCATGTACATGGGATCATAACATTCTCCTGATAATTTCTGTAAGTGTATATTCAATATATTTCATTTTGACTTTCACCTTGTAAGTCAACTAATTTTTGTAGTTCTTCTGTGACTTGTGCTCTTCTGCTTTGGTATCCCTTGACTTTCGAATAAATTGACAACCCATTAGCCTTCCTTCTCATTCTGTTGGTTGTACTTGCAGGTATGAATTGGGAATAATTTGGATGTGAAGAATTTGAAAGTAAGGAAGGGTTGAAATTTTAAGAGGAAAGAGAGATATTTTAAAAAGTAATCTATTTATTATCGATGATGATTATCATTAATCTAGGTTATAGTTGCTCAGTAATTCATTGTCCAATTACAATCATTATTTCAACCCTTTAATTATCATACTCATTTTCAATTACACATTTATATAAAATATTTTGTACGTAAATTCAATTTTTTTCTATTTTTTAACAACATATTTTCCAAAAAAATAATTATTCAAAGCTCAATTTTTTCAAAATAATGGCCATCAAACAGGGGTTAAAGTTATTGAAAAATGAATTAGAGGACTCGCTTCCATCTAAATGATAATTGTCACCGATGATGGATAGCAATATTATTCTATGTTATTTGAAATTTTTGTGCAACAATACCATTCAATACAAAACTATTACAAGATAGGTAAACTTACATGTTCCCAATTAGTAAATATTTCCTAATCAATTTAATAAATTTCATCAATTTTTATTATAATTGGATTTTAATATTAGATTTTGATTAAGCTGGGGTCATTATTTGTGGAGGCGGTTCAGAAGGTGGCCGATTCACAGTCATCATGCGGTGCTTGGGTTTGAAAGAAGATTAAAATAATTGAGAACCATCATTGCCAATGATTGTAGCTTTCGCAAAGCGCTACGTCCTAAAATTAGTAGTGGATCCAACTTATTAGTCATGGCAACAATTGTTGCCAAGGTCTGGATGTGGACCAAGTTCAAGCGTGGACAAGGGCGGATGCAGACCTTAAAAGTTAGGGGTCACAATCGAACTTGTAAAGAAATTGGGAGAAATTTTACAATCGAAAATTTAAGTCCAAAAAAATCGTGTCACGTGTAATTTGACATTCGAAAGTCTACATGGGATATGATTTTTTTCGGATGTAAAATTTCGAAAACTTTTTATTTCATATTCATATAAAATTTCCTAATAAAATGATGAAAATTACATTGAAAAATTTATATCGCAAAATAAGAAATGTTAATGAAATAATTGATTTTTTTTTAAAAATGAGAGTTAGATGTCTTTTTTTAAAACTCGCGTTTAATGTATTTTTAACTATTTTCGATATCTGTTTGGACTATTCGATATACCCCTAATATAGTTCTCAAAATAAGTTTTGAGATGACATAAACAATTTTTAGATCGATTAGGAGAATTTTTAAAATTAGGTGGCCGATTCACAATTCAAATTTTGTGATGTTGCCTATGTTTGGTGGAGATTAAAATCAAATTTTTAGTAAATTTTGATAAAAGTTAAAATGTTATGAATTTCATGAAATATATTATTAAAATTAATTGTTAATTTTGATTTAGATTAAAATTTAGATTTCAATTGGTATTAAACACGATTTTATAAAAAAAAATCTTAAAAGTTGGGGGGCCGTTGCCCCCCGGACCTCCCCTAGGTCTGCCCATCAGCTTGGGTTGTTGAGAAAATTAAAAGACTTGAACAGTAAAATGACTATCGAGTATAGCTTGCCATCGGTCCTACACAGAAGCTCTTCATTTTCACTCTTATGTGAGTCCAATAAAAAATTGAACAAATAGTCAACAGTTCCTAAGGCCTAGCTTACCAGTTCGGCAGTTCACATTTTCATTGTGACCAGTCATGTTAAGTATCGATATTAAAGATGAATCGCCAAATCATTGAAAACTTTAAGAAGTTAGCCAGATTTGCTTTTGGATTATTTATGTTCAAAATGCTCTCTCAGGTTTGGATCGAGTTCCTTTATTTGAGTTAGAAATGTGTTCATATTCCAATTACAAAGTTACGAAACATCAAATTGAAAACCTTGGCCTAATCTTGTTCAATGCAAAATCATAGTAAACTCCATCTTCCTCTCCCCAACTATAGAAAATCAATTCTCGAAAATCTCGAAACTTGTGAAGAAAATGAATCCACTTTAATTCTATGCAAAATCATAATGAACTTCCTCCTCCTCTCCCCAACTATAGGAAAATCAATTCTCAAAAATCTTGAAACATGTGAAAAAAATGGATCAGCGTTATGACTTAAAAACATTTCAAAAACTGGAAATTTCATCCTTCTTTTAGGACTGTACAACAATAATATACGAGAAATTCTTGATAAGTTTGGCGAGATCCAGACTTACAATGTTAAAAATGGCCACGTTTGGAGTATTCAAGTATTGCAGGAGTATTTTTATTATGATTTTAAGGATCAAGAGGAGACATTCTTCTGGTGTTCTCATGAGTATAACAACAATCTCAATAAATTTAGGAGCAACTGATCTTTTGTTAATGAGGTGTAGAGAATTATTTATTTAAAGATGATATCCTACTTGTGTTTATATAGCCTCTTGAGCATGATCGAAGGTACCATAGAAGCTCCTGGAAATATTCAAAGAACAGTACTAGTCTTGTAGTGAAACAAATCTGGCTAGGCACTTGTCAAGGTAGTTTACTCTTCTTTAGACATCTTGTTTCTCCACTTTGTTGAAAATCCAAAGTTTACAAAGGGTATGTTAGGGCAATCTTCTCCTTTCATCATATCGAGGGTAAAATAATGGATTTGTATTCTTCTGTTTCTATTATTTTATATGTTTGTTGAAATTGTGTATGCTGTTATGATATATGGTTGTCTACTCATATTGAGATGTATCTGTTATGATCGGCAAGTCTGAAATCTTGATTTAACAAGATTCATTTTTATTTTTTATTTTGCTGTACAAGCTGTATCGTATAGTATAGACATTCAAGTCGCAATTTCGGAGTAGATGATTTCGTTTAAAATAAATGAATTGTAGTATGATCGACCTAACCCATATATTATTCAATGTAAAGCTGGTGTGAGTTTCTTTTTTTAATTTAAGTATTAACGTATGTACACTACATCTCAACCGTAGATGGAATGGAAGACTAGAATATAGTATATGTGCAAAAAGGGTGGATGAAAATTTCTAAAACTTAGAAAGAGGAGAGCCAAGAGAGATTCATCAATCTTTATTCATTACGTATTATTTTGTATCATGGAAATGATAGCGGTTAATTCGTGTTTTTTAATCTTTATTCATACTACAATTAAAATATAGAATATGATCTCAAGAATTGACATTATTACCTGTGGTATTAGAACGTTATATTCAACTATATACTTTTCACAACACTCGTATTAATGAACTAGCAAATGTGTTGGTTGAAATTGTTATTCAATTTGATAAAAAGGTCAATAGTTCCATTGTCAGAAAACTTAAAAAGATTTAGGCTCCGTTTGATTGTAAATGTGGAAAATGAGTGGAAAAAAAATGTTTTATAAGGAATTGATTTGCTTGGAAATTGTTTTATTGAGAATTGTAATTAATTGTACTTGATTGGTATAATTTTTCATGAAAAATGTTGAAAGTTTGATATCCATTTGACTTCGTTTTTAATGAAAATTGTCCATTAAAGTGATAATTTTTTCTACCATTGGGTCTATAATTTGTTCCAATTGCTAAAAAAAAAAAAAACTGAAAAATATTTACCAACCAAAACATCAAAAATTTGTTTTCCTCAAAAAGGTGGAAATTTTGGAAAGTTTGAAAACATTTTCCCGGGAAAATTTTGCCTATCAAACACTACAAAAGTTAGAAAATTAAAAAAAAAAATCATTTTCCATGGAAAATATGGTGTCAAACGGAACCTTAAAGAAAAATATTCAGATGTTAACCATCCAAGTCCAAATGACCACTTCGTCTTTTTACGTTGGTACAAATCAAAGCTAGATTTCAACTACCAATTCTTGACATCTTGATAAATGAGACCAATATGCGAGTATTAAATTAACTATCGACTAATTTTGAAAATAACGACGTTATTCACAACGTCAATTTAGGTGGCCCAAAATCCCTTGATCCTCTATTGAACAATTAAGTAATTCATGTCAACTAAATTGATGAGTATCATCACAAATGATGCATAACATTACTCTTTTGAAAATGAATATAATGAAATGAAGATGCATCATAATGATATGCAGAAAACTACATTTGATACCAAAATAGGAACTCGAGAAAGTTTACTTATCAAAAATATAGTATCAGTTTTACTGAGACATATATAGATCATATCGAGTTCAAACGAAAAATAAAGTAGCAAAATGAACAAACAATTTACTTAATCTTAATCATAACTAGTCCACCGTAACAATATAGTTGAAACAAGGAAGAACAAGCGGGGAAGACGCTGTTGCTTGATTTCAAAATTTTTCTTTTTAAAATGAAAAGCACATCCCCTTTAAAGAGTCTCTTGACGTTGATCTTACACCATATATTTTATTGAATAAGAAATGTCGCCCATCACTTTTAGCTTGTGTTTCATAGAAAGATTACGAAGATAGATAAGGAAAATACATAATCCCAATCATCTAGCTGAGGCAATACGAATTAAGGTAGCAAAATAACAAGAACTCAGCCAACGTGAAGACGCGAAAGAAATAATGGAAACATGCTCCATCCTTGCGCTGATCTTTTCTGTGTGTTTTTTTCCAGAAGATCAAATCGCTCCACAATAGCACTATTAATATTGCTAAACGCCACTGCTCGGTAAGGAATAAATCAGGTTTTTAATATATTCTGATAAAAATTGTTGAAATGTGTGGTTGAAAAGTTGTATGTCTCATTAAATGTGTGATTAAGATTAATAGTTGACTTTGACTTACATTAAAATCTGAAT